TTTTTCTGCTTCCCTAGACACAAGCCCGCCCCCGAGCGTCGAAGTCAGCTCCTTAGAGGTCCCGCAAAGTGCCCATCTCAGCAGTGAGCCAATCAGAACCTAGCTTTCCACCCCTGGGCGCAGAGAAGCGGAAAAGTCCTAGGTGTGTTCCTGGGAGGTGGGCGGGGCCACACGTGAGTGACAGTTCAATCCTCCAATAGACAGAGCCCCAGGACCTGCCCTTTTCTGGCTGCGGGGCTAGAAAAGAGCCGCGATGCCGGCTGCAGGGATGAGACCTCGGAGGCGCAGGCTGCTGGGCGGCCCCGAGCAGCGGTGGCTACTAGTGGCCTCTTGGCAGGTGAGTGGTTTTGCTTTCGACTCTTGCTGTTGGAACGTTGCCTTTTAAAGTGATGGAGTGTGTTATTCTGCAGCGCGGGAAGGCCAGTTCTTTTACTCCCCGGATCCACTTTTGGGGGGGGCATCTGGTGTTCATGGGTCCCCCCAACCCTCACTTACCCCCGGTCCTTCTCGGGTGACCCTTTTTCAACTCAGATCTGTCAGCTGAGAGAGGACCCAGCCTCGGTGGGGGTGTCTTGACGGTAGGAGTGAGTAGGGGTTGAGGGAGTGAATAACTCATCTTTCCTGAGCTGCAAGGCACAGTGGGAGGCAGAATCCCTTCCAGAGTTGGGGTCCTGGAAGAAGGCTAGGCTGGAGTTCGGGGCCATGCTGTATTTTCAGGGTGATGAGAGATCTGGCTATAGAAGTCTGAGGCGACAGGGAAAAATTTTGAATGCCATGAAAGGTATTTGCTGTAGGTTCATGCAGTGCTCAAATCTGGAATTCAATCACAGGTTCTTAGAACCAGTCAAAATTAAATAGAGCAGTTCTTTTTTCAAGGAGATGGGGACTGGATTGCTAGAGAAAAATGCAATGGAATGCATACTGGAAATAAAATAAGTGCCCAGTTATTAGCTAATTTAGTACAACTCCTAATCCCCTACTGCCTTTCTTCCAAATTATGGCTTGTGAGTGGTAGCAGGATGTTAACTAACTGCATACACACTCCTTAGGCATATACCTAAGCTACTGTCTTTTACCCATAGCTTCTAAGATTGCCTAAGATGAATGCAGAACACATGTCCATTTGTCTTCATTTTAAGACAGGGATTCGATTTTATCCATCTTTGTCTATGTTGCACCTCACACACACCACAGATACCACTGGCATGGCCAGTGGACTTTAGGGGAGCATGGTTCAAGCATGCTCTGGGTTGGAAATGAAGAAGCCTAAGTTTCGTTCTTGAAGCTGTTGCTATTTGTGTGATCTCAAGCAAATCATTTCCACTTTCTGATGCTTTAAGTTTCGCATCTTTAAAAAACAGATATTGCATTAGGGTATTTCTCAGGTCCATGCCTGTGTTAAAAGTCTGTTTTAAATTAAAGATGATTAGATATTTTCCACAAGTACATAAGCAAAATTTTCTTTTGGTCAGTTTCATACCAATGTGTTCTAAATAAAAGTTCCCAACTTCAAGGGTGGTACCTGTTCTTTTATGTCCTTATTTGAACCGTACCAAACCAAATGGATCGTTGTAGAAAACTTCATCATTGTATAGAATGACCACTGTACAGAAGTATCATGTGATAGAAAATGTCATTCTTAAGAGGAAACCACTGTAGGTATTTGGGTAGATTTTTTAGTCTCTCTTCCTCCTTTGCTGTTGATTGAGACTAAGTGGCACATTTCATTTTGTCATGACTGACATATCTGAAATCACCCAGGCCTTCATTTTTGTGTTTCTGGTGTCTGGAGAGCAGAGGACACCCAAATATTTGAACTGTCAGATTTCTTGAACATCTTTGGAATGAAATCTGCTGAGGGGATGTTTGCTTGGGGAACAGGACTATAACTATTATTGCCTAGCAAAACTCTTTCCCTGGAACTTGGCCACAAAAATGGAGAAAACATACTTTATAAGATGTAAATTAAAAGTTAACTATTTCACTAAAAGCATTTGGGTTGTAGAATGTGGCTTAGTGTTTGATATGCTTCTTTGTCGTCCTATCAGTCTCCCTGCCCCAACACACACACACACACACACACACACACATACACACACACACATACACACATACACACACACAATTGCGTTACTCCTTCCACTATCTAATTTAACCTTTTCTTTTTAATCCCACCCTCATTCTACTTTATTCCCAGCTTTTGTTTCTGCACCTACCATTGGCAATGTAGGGGCACTTCCAGAGCCTTGAGATCTGTGCTAGTCTTAATGTGTTAGTCACATCTGCTCCATTTGACCCAGAATGCCCCCTACTCTTTGGTACTGCTTTCCTGTAGCCTCATTTAGTCTTCCTAATTGCCCCTCAAGAACATTTATTTCGTTATCTTCATCATTATGGCTAAGGAATCTAAGGTCCAGAGAATTTAAAAAACTTGATTAAGATCATGCTGTCAATAAATAGTAGAGCTGGTTTTCTTGACTTAAAATTTCTGAGATTTGGTGAAAACAGTTTGTGTTGACAAAAGCTATTACCCTGGGAGAAGAAGTAACCAGAGGTAGGAAGGAGATGTCATGAGTGGGTGTTGTGCACATTGGTGATACCATGCAGGTTGAAACAAGCAACACACCATGGGCAAACACACATCTCCCTATACACCTACATCTCTTCCCTGTGCATTGAGGTCTGCCTGCTGTGGTTTGTTACTCTGGTAATAAGTGATGCTTACGAGCTGCTAGTAGATATAAAGTTGGGGAGAATGACAGGGTAGTACCTGTGCCCAGAAAACTCCTGTGAGTGATAGTATTAGACATATTTTTATCAGGCAGGTGCAAATGGAAAAGTTATTGTGAAGTTTTAACAAGAGTAATGGATGACGGAACACTAGGTACTTTTAGGTCATGTCTGAACTTTTAAGATTGAACTTGATTATGGGGAAGGCATATTTTGTTAAGACCTTTAAGGAACTGAGCTCCAGATTTCATTTCCTTTAAGAAGTATTTCTTATTAATTTACCGGAAATGTGCTTAACCTCTCTTTTTTTATCCTCAAATATAGCTTGCCTACCTTCTATAGTGTTAAAATTGTATGCAATGGGGATTGAGTTGATCAGAGCTATACAGTGAGAATTTGGACCAGGGAAACATCTGCTGAATGGTCTTGGGGAACATTTGAATATTTGGATGAAAGTGACTCTAGCTCTGTATCCCTCATTTTATATTGCTCCAGCATTACACCATTGATCACATTTCTTACTCAATTTTTGGAAACAGAAAGAAAACTAAGTTTTTAGGCTGATCTTTAACTTGTAATTTTCCTCCCCACCTACATGAGTGGTCATACGTCTTTCAAATCCCTGAGGAATGGAGGAAATAGTGTTCTGGGAACATTTATTTGAAGACGAAATAACCCTCAGCTATGGGACGGGGCAGAGGTATATGAAATTACATATTTAATAAAGAGTAAGAGTAGGTAGGACTCAACAGCAAAATGGTTGCAACATTTGTAAAACTACCTGGAGATTAAAAATACTGTGGAAGTAACTTTGGTAAATGTCATGCTTTGCCCTCATCTGTGTTCTTTATCCCTGCTTGCCAAAAGGATGCTGATCTTAAAACTATAACTTCAGTTTTATGGTGGTATTTTTGGAAAGTATATTTTTTGCTTTAGAGCCAAATTAGATGGGATTTCTATATATATGTATAATAATGAAAGGATCTGAAAACATGTCACCTGCAAAATCTGATTTTTTTTTGTTTGAATCACCAATCTGTTTCTTTATTGCCAGGATAGTTGCAAAACACCTGTTCCTGAACAAGTATATAGTCTCCTGATACATGAGGCACTACTATAATCTAGGAAGTTTTCTAATAGAAGTAAAGCATCTCAAAATGACAGATTTTTTTTTTCCTGCAAGAGCTTAACAAGATGAATAATTTTTTCTCCATAGATCTACCCTGAACCCATTATTAAATAACTCAAGCAAAAATCAGACTGATTTAAAGATGCCCAGTGAAGGATTAAAAACAAGAATGAGATTCCATTACTCAAGGTAGTTGCATTTCTGGACAAGAATAAAATCACGTGGGCCTCCCCTGGTGGTGCAGGAGCGCTGGCCTGCGAGGCTGCCCTCAGCCTCTGCAGCACCGGTTCGATCTCCGGCCACCAGCGAGGGTCCCACATGGCACGCAGACCTCTCCTGCCGCCCGCTGCTCCCCTCAGCAGTGTATTTCGTTGGTCTGCCTGTTCTGTTCCCCACTCTGTCTCTGGTGAATTCTCTCACCCTCCCGCTCTTCTGATTGTACCCAGTGCTTGTATAAATAAATAAATAAATCTTAAAAAAATTTAAAAAAAAGAATAAAATTACGTGATTTAATAATATTGGAATTATCCCATGATGGGATGCTTAGACGTTCAAACTGCTGATGTGTTTAGTAGATCTGAGTATGGTATACAACTAGGTGAGGGATTGACAAAGTAAGACCTTCTGACGCCACTACCTTTTTTGGTATAACTCATGAGTTATGAACAGTTTTCACATTTTTAAATGCTTGCAATAAATCAAAAAATGATATTTTTGTGTGCATGAAAATTATATGCAATTTGAATTTCAGTATCCTTACATACAGTTTTATTGACAAAGCTTCATATATTCATGTATTGTCTGTGACTGCTTTTAGCTACAATGGTCAAATCAGGACCTCCCCACTGGTGCAGCAGGTTGAGCACAGCGCTATGAAGCTGTCCGCAGCCTCTGCAGTGCAGGTTTGATTCCCAGCCGGTCAGGGAGATACCCACATGGCAAGGCAGACCTCTCCTGTCTCACCCGCTGCTCCCCTCAGCAGTATATTTCCGTCAGTCTGCCTGTTTTGCTCCCCGCTCTGTCTCTGCTGAATCGTCTCACCCTCCCGCACCTCTGGCCTGTACCCCAACTCTTGTATAGGTAAATAAATCTTTTTTTTAAAGGGTCCAATCAAGTGGAGCAACCAAGATCGTACAGCCCAAAACACCTACAAAAATTTCTATTTGATCTGTGCAGAAGAATTAGCTAACACTTGAGTTAAGCTGTAGTGTCTTTCACATTCATCGCCTTCATTCCATTTCAACAGCCATTATCCTCGTCCAGGTCTTCATTATATGTTACCAGAATTATTGCAAAAGCCTCCCAAGTATTCACATCCTTGTTTTCTTCATCTCTCTGTATATATTTGTAAGTGCTGCTTAATCGTCCTAAAATACACATGATTAAACCTTTAATGATGTCCCAATATTTATAGAAGAACCAACATCCTTTGGTCCAAAGTCTTTTTGGAGCCACTATTCAGTCTTATCTTTCTAAGCTGGTCTCCTCCTACTTCCTTGGTATACTCTATACTTAGGGTAATCACCTCATTTTCCAAATGGGATGCTTAAGTGTGAAAGGGGCCCTGTAATAATGATGTTAGGGAAGCAGATTTACAGTGGGCTGTTCTAGGCAAACCAGGATGTGTGATTACCCTCCGTGTACACTAGCCAATTTGAATGGGTCACCTTTCAAATGCGTCTGTCCCCCTGCCTCTACTCACTATTCCTTTAGGCTAGAATTCCTTTACCTTCTTCTTTAAATCAAAATCTTAAACATCTTTCAAACCACCTAAAGCAGAGCCATGTCCATGTCCTTACTTAGAAATAATCTCTCCATTTCCAGCCCTTCTCCCTTATGAATGAAATGCTTTCTTACAGTGTGGAATTACTTTCTGCTTTAGCCTCACACACACACCCCCACCCCACCACCTTTCTGCCTACCTTGTCCTTGAAGATGTACGCCATGTTAGAGACTCTGTTCAGAATAGACCTAGCATTGTGCCATGCGCCTATGGGGTTGACGGCACATGTTTGAAGAATGAATGAATGGATGAGACCTGAGGAGATTGATGTCCACAGGGGGTGGTCCACTGATAAAGTATCCATTTCAATGTGATTCGAGTATTAGTGATAAAAGTTGTTTCCCAGGACTGGGGTAGAGCCTTGGATGCCAATGTAGCAGTAGAGCAGAGTGGGTCAAGGCAGAAGTAAAGACTTTGAGGTTCAGCTCTACCAGGTATAATCTGTGTCATCTTCAGACCAGTTGACCTCTCCTCCAAGTCTCTCCACCTATAAAATGGGCATGATTCGAGCATTAGGACTGGGGTAGAGCCTTGGATGCCAATGTAGCAGTAGAGCAGAGTGGATCAAGGCAGAAGTAAAGACTTTGAGGTTCAGCTCTACCAGTTACAATCTGTGTCATCTTCAGACCAGTTGACCTCTCCTCCAAGTCTCTCCACCTGTAAAATGGGCATGATTCGAGTATTAGTGATAAAAGTTGTTTCCCAGGACTGGGGTAGAGCCTTCTCCCTGCGTGGTGGTTGAGAAGTCATAGTCCCAAGCACCTGCTCAGCACTCCTTGACTGTTAGCCACTGTGACATCACGGGATGTCTTCATTATCATAACACTGCTCCTGTGGGTAAGAAAAGGGCAGAGAGAACCAACACCATGATGTAACAATAGAAGAGCTGGGGTGAGTATAGCACTGAAATCTTAAAGAATCTTTCCCCCTGTGGAAGTAGTCAGCTTTAGAGGTGGTTCAAAGCAGTCTGAGTCGTTAGAGGTGGTCTCTACTTAGTAAGAAATTTCTAATTAGCAGTTTTCTAAAAGATTATTTTAATAGAGGGGGCAGCGTGCAAATGAGGTGCCAGGGGACCAAAGAAGTAATGGCCAGAAGAGAGGGAATGATGCGACAGTCCCATAAAAAAAAATTTGTTTAGTAAATTTTATTTTAACCATAACCTTCCTTTTTTAAAGGCAGGCCCCCTGAGGTATTATATAATACAGTGACCTGGGTGGTCCTTTTTCAGGATGAAGTAAATCATTGACTAAAATTAGTACTTAATTCTTACCTGCAGGTAACCCTGGCTGGGGTATAAATGAAGAACTTGTGACCGACACCGGGTGGTGAGCTTTGCCAGAAACAAACCTTGAGTTTTTTAAAAAGTAGTTTTTCACTTGAGGGGGGCGAGTCTACGTAGTAAGGTGCCTCTTAGTAAGTTGGGGTGACTATTGCCCAACTTGACTTTGCGCCTTGAGGTTTTTCTCAAGAGCAATCATGAGCTGAGCCCTCCTTTGTACTCACCTTGTTTGTGTGCGCTTCGTGAAATGGGTGCCTGGGTTTGGAAGGACAAGTTGTGACTGGAGGTTCTCCTGTGAAGTGCAGCCAAGGAATCAAGGTCCTCACCATACCACGTCTTCATGGTGAGGTGGAAAGAACACAGGTCTGGGAGGTGGGAGATCTGCATGGAAGTCCCCGTTTGCCACTTAGGGGCTGTGTGTATTTGAGCGAGTCCAGTAGAGCCTCTGTGTTCTCCATAGAGGTTACAGGCCATTTGTGAATGGACTAAACCATAAAGGGCACAAAAATATAATGGATGATTACTCTTGGCTCTAGCTTTGGCGTTAAATACCCTGGGATTCTTGAGTTCAAGCTTCCTCACATCTTGGGCCTGCTGCTGATTGTTTTCTCTTTGGCAGTTGCCTCTAACGCTTCGAAGCTTTCACCTCATGAGCACAGTCTAATCGTTCTGGTCCAGCTCACTTGGATTTATCAACACACCTACTAAGTGCCAACCTAGTGCGTGTCAGGTGTCTTTCTGGGCTCTGGAGAAATGACCATGAGGGTCAAGGGAAACAGACCTGCCATGAAACAGATCATAGTTCACAGGCCACACAACACTGAACACACAAGTTCACAGGCCACACACGCACTCTCACAAGTGACCCAGCAGACCTGTGCCCACAGGTGTAAAGCAGGGGTGCCGCAGGTGTGTGTACCCGGCAGGTCTGGCCACCTCCCAGCAGCTGAGAAGGAAGGGCAATGGTCCTCACATCAGAAGCATTGGCTTCACCTGGGAGCCAGGTAGGAAGCCACTTCTCAGGCTCCCCAACTTAATCAGTTCTGGAGAAGGGGCCCAGCAGTCTGTTGTAACCAGTTTTCCTGGTGATAGTCCTGGCGATTCAAGTTGGAGAACACTGGTCTAGAGGAAATGCCATTTAAGCTAAACTCTAAGCCACGCTGTTGAGTATGGTAGCCCTGTCACATGTGACGCCGAGCCCTTGAAATGTGGTCAGTCCAACCTGAACGTGCTGTAAGTCGTATACACACCCGGTTTCGGTTACTATGGGGAGAAAGAAAGCAAACTACTTCATTAAGAATTTCATTTTGATCATATGTTGGATAATAATATTTTGAGCCTTTGAGGTCAGGCCAAGTACATTATCAAAATTGATTTCACCTGGTTTTCTTATTTTACTTTTTTGAATATGATTTTTAGAAAATCAAATATGTGACTTGCATTTATGGCTTGAATTTTATTTTGATCGGCCTGGTGCATCTAAAGGAGGTTACCTGAAGCAGGACAGGATGGAAGTGGCCGTGGAGGGCAGGGTCCCGTGTAGGATAGAGTGTGGGCAGAGGCCCTGGGCAATAATGACACACATGGCATGTTCAAGGAAATAGGAGACAATCAAAGCCTTGCAAGGCCCATTAGGAATTTTGAACTTTATCCTAAGACCAACAGGAAGTAATTGAGGGTTTTAAATAGGGTGCTCAGTTTTCAGGAAGTTTGCAGCTGTAGCTGAATATAGAAAGACTCTCAGAATCTAAGATCCTCCTCTCCCCCAAAGATGGTGGGGGAGGAAGGTAGTTGGTCAGGAAGTACCACTGAGAGAGGAGCAGGACCCTGCCCATCACCCCATTACCTGCCCTCCCATGGTAGGCACATATGAACACACACACACACACACACACACACGCCCTAAAGAGAGAAGATAGCTAGAGAGAGGAAGTTTTGAGTTCAGTTAATTTTCAGCTCACTTGAAGCTCAGAGTCAGAGGAAATGTTACAGGAAGAGTCCAAAGTTGAATGGGAGTCTGATTACAGAGCTGGCACTCTGCAGGACACTGGCAGAGGGTTTGGTGAGTGACAGGCTCAAGGAACCCGGCAGGCGTGGGGTTAGCCAGTCTGTCCTTGGAAAGAGTGTCGTGGGACAATAGCAAGGCCTGGAGGCTTGGGGTCTGATCATGTCTAGGGGTGGTGCCACCCCATTCTCTGTGGCTTAGGGGAGATTTCCCTTCAAGGCACAGTTTAGATACTAGCAGACTCAATCAGCGTGTTTCGTTTAGCTCACATTTTGAAAATGCATTAAGATTAGTTGTCAATATTTTATGTCCGCTATTACATAAAATGCACATTTCCAGGTTTCTTTTTTTTAATTGGGAGATCAAGGAAACATAATTCCTCAGTCTCACTAGGGTATAGGGTGGAGCTAAGGAGTACCTAGCTGTGTATAAATATACACACACACACACACACACACACACTTTTAGGAATTGAGATGATCATTTAAAAAAAAAGATATTTTCCTTAAAAACAAAACAATTCGTTGTTTCTCTGTGGTCTAACTCTAAGTCTGTTCTCTGTAGTCTTAGGTTTCAGCAGCCTCCCCAACCCTCGTCCCTTTGTTCTCAAGACACGTTCTAAGAATGTCTCTTTAGCTCAGTAAGACCAGGTTGTACTGAAGCTTTGTCCACAGAGGAAGGTGTGTCCCCTGAAGCTCACCACTGCCCCACCCCCCAGAGTCCTCGCCCTGTCACACTCCTGGCTGGCATTTAGGCCACAGGAGTTTGCAGCCCCTCCCTTAAGCTCTGAATGAAACTCACTTTAGTGTTGTGCATTTTTGGCAAACACTTAGTATACCAGCTCCTGTAACTACTGAGATCTTAAAGAGTGCACATTTTAAAACGCAAGAGCTCCTCTGTAAATAATCAGCAGTTAATGAAATGGGGAGTGTCAGTTGACAGCACTGAGGAGAGAGGGAGGTGATTCTGTTTCCCCGAGATAGATGTTGGTACCTCGCCCTCTTTCACCCCCTATGCGCCAGTGAGACAAAAGCAATTGTATGTGTAGTTTGTGGGGCCGTGGTGTTCTGCTGCTGCAGCAGGTTGTACATTCTGAGGGGAGAAAAGAAAATCGTTTTATTTCTTAAAGGAAGCAAAGATAGCCGTGTCTGGAAACAGCTGCCTGAGTGTTCATGGTGTCGTTGATCCTTTTTTTTGTTCTCTTGATCTGGTTCATAATCGAGAGATGAGGGAGAAGTGCTTCTGTCTGCAACGTTTGTCCATCCTATGCTTCTTCATCTGAAGGGACGACAGTTCCAATAGTACATGATGGTTTCTGGCTTGACCAGATGATCTAAGTAAGGGTTGCGGGAGGGAAACTGTTGGTAGCTTCTCCTCTGTGGAAGAATCAGTGGTGATGAGATGTGGGTCCAGCTTTTGTTGTCTGAAGCTTCTACTACTTGGCAGGTTGGAGCTCTTTGAAGATAATAATACAAACAGATCTTTCTTTTACAAGTACACACACACACACACACACACACACACACACACACTCAACTACCTGAATTCATTGCTTGGTCTCTCCCAACGCCTTCGAAGGAGATTGTTCAAGTGAGGGGCCCAGAAGCTTGAATTTCATTAACTTCATGATAATCCTGTTTCTGGCTTCTGGTAATCCCCTGAGCAGAGGGCTTTGTCCCAGCCTCTGTTCTCCTGCTGTTCCTGCACCTGGAATTCTCAGCTCTATGTCATACCTTCCCTGAGCCCGCAGCCCAGGCTCTTCCGGTGACCTGAGGCTTCCCTGCTCTGCCTGAACTAAAGCTGCAGGCCTGAAGCTTGAGCAGAAGGATGAACCGAACACCTGCCCTGCTGCAGACTTTCAACCCCTTGCAACTCACTCACTTCAGCCTGCTCCCCACCCCTATCCCTCCCAGGCCCTCTGTTTGCCTTCAACTGAAATAAGGAAGCCTAATATTAAAGACTCTTTCCCCTCTCAGAATCTCTAGGAATTACTAAAGAAAGGAAGAAACTCTATCGAGATTCCAGTTAACTTTGTCACTGATTGTTATATAACTGTGGGTGAATCACAGCTTAACTGGGACAGAAAATCTCCAGTTAATGGACTTTGCCAAGAATGGCAGAAGACGGGGCCCAATCTTCTTATAATCTTTGCTCCCCAGTGTGGGAAACCGTGGGGTGAAGGTGGAGAGCCCTGGGCCTAGAAACGCAGCAGCATCTGTCAGTGGAGATTGTCCACTGCTGGGGGTGCAGGCAGAGGGGTGCAGCTGGTTCTCCTGGGGGGCAGAGCTTATACTTAGGGAGTTCAGAAATGATTCCAGGTTTCCTGTCCCACTTTTCTAGATTCTTCTCCCATTGAGATGTGGCTGGTGTGTGTTGGACAGCAGAAGGGTGAAGAGGAGGAGACTGGGCCTCCTTATCAGGCCTCTTCCTCTTCCTCCTCCAACCCTGCTTCTGTTAATCTATTTCTACAGCAGCATCTCCCAGCTGCTTGCATTTGATAGTTTGTTTTGCATCCGGATTTATTTCAGCCAAAAGATCTTTCTTAAGGCAGGTGAGAAATTATTTAGGTGCGTGCCACATTGGGCATTGGGTGTTAATGTTCCTTTCAATCACTTCTAATGCTGTTTGAATAGCCGACCTTAGATTTTCTTGTGTGTCTAGATATTCAGTATTTATAGCATTGAAGAACTGCTTGCCACCAACGAAACATATGTGGTGGTTCATTGAATTAACGTGTTTAATAACGTCTGTAGGGTGAGACTGGTATTTCTTTCTCCACTAGAGGAAAAACAAAGCGAGGAGAATGCCTTCCGTCTAGAGTCAGCTGCGAGGAGGTGGGAGATCCCAGCTATTGGTTATCCTTGTAGATTTCTACAACTCATCCTGTTAACGCCTGTCTTCGGGAAGTCCAGGCTGCTGGAAATGCAGCATGCCATCAGAGTGAAGTGTTCTGTTATTTTACCTGAGACAATTAACGTACTATCCAGTCACCAGAAAATTTAAGTCAACTAGGTTCCCTGTAATTAATGATCTGTACAAAATGCCCGTCTGTGCCACGGGCTATGAGTTGCCGGATGTCTGGTGTGAAAACTGCTCCCAGGAATGCTTCCAGTTCATTTTTGGAACCGGCCGCTGTAAGCTGTGCTTTCCACTCCCAGGAAGTCAGTGGGGCAAACACTATGACTTCAACCTCTTGTTTGTTCTCTTTGTAGATGTATCGCTGTCATTGAACATCAGCCCATCTGGAAGCTCCAGGGAAGCGCAGCCATCAGTATGTCTAAGTACAAACTGATCATGTTAAGACATGGAGAGGGTGCTTGGAATAAGGAGAATCGTTTTTGTAGCTGGGTGGATCAGAAACTGAACAGTGATGGCTTGGAGGAAGCTCGGAACTGTGGGAAGCAACTCAAAGCACTCAACTTTGAATTTGACCTTGTGTTCACATCCGTCCTTAATCGGTCCATCCACACTGCCTGGCTGATCCTGGAAGAACTGGGGCAGGAGTGGGTCCCTGTGGAAAGCTCCTGGCGTCTAAACGAGCGTCACTATGGAGCCCTGATTGGCCTCAACCGGGAGAAGATGGCTTTGAATCATGGCGAAGAGCAGGTGAGGCTCTGGAGGAGGAGCTACAGCGTGACCCCCCCGCCCATCGATGAGTCTCACCCTTACTACCACGAAATCTACAGTGACCGGAGATACAAAATGTGTGATGTCCCCTTTGATCAGCTGCCACGGTCGGAAAGCCTGAAGGATGTTCTGGAGAGACTCCTTCCCTTCTGGAATGACAGGATTGCCCCGGAGGTGTTAAGTGGCAAAACCATTCTGATATCTGCTCATGGAAATAGCAGCAGGGCGCTCCTGAAACATCTGGAAGGTACGGTTTTAATGTCTCTACTTACTAGAGGTTGCTAAGTGTTACGTTGGACCTTCCTCGAGACAGGCCTTGGTTTCCAAGCTAACAGTGAGCCCTAGAATTATGTTCCCTGTTCCCCTTTGTCACTTCAGTCTTTTAAGAATCGTGTGATTCTCAAAGTCCAAAGATAGCCTGTGTCTTTAACATTGTTATTATCCAAAGCAGCGAAGTTCAAACTCTGGCCACCACCAGCATCCCCAGTCAGGTTGCTGGGCCTGCAAGCTTCCCTCCCCTCTCGGCCTTTCTGCATCAGTAGGGCCTGGGCTGTGACCTGAGCGTCTGCATTTCCAAGAAGTTTTCAGACGATGCTGAAATTGCTGCTTGGGTTTGGCACTTTGAGACCAGTTATCTAAAGGATTATGTGACTTTGGTAGAAAGATAGAAGGATGCTAGGGAGGGAAGACATTTCTGTCGAAATGACATTTGAGTAGTAGTATCGGAGTTTTTCATGTTATGTAAGAATGATCTAGACTTCAGTTTTACTCATGTTCTTTAAGCTTTCCACGGTGGGTGCTATGTTGGCAGACCTGGGTTTTCTGAACAGATCTTTTGCTCCAGTCCTCTCTTTCCAGACCAGGCTTAGTCATTGATTGGGAGAAAGGGAGGAGGAAAATGCAAGGTTTTGGGCCTCCCCGGTGGCGCAGCGGTTGAGCGCTGGGTTGCGAAGCTGCCCGCGGCCTCTGCGGCACTGGTTCAATCCCCGGCTGCTCCCCGGCCACCGGAGGAGGGTCCCACATGGCGCGCAGACCTCTCCTGCCGCCCGCTGCTCCCCTCAGCAGTGTACTTCAGTCCTTCTGCCTGCTCTGCTCCCCGCTCTGGCTCTGGTGAATTCTCTCACCCTCCCGCGCTTCTGACTATACCCAGTGCTTGTATAAATAAATACAATAAATAATAAATCTTTAAAAAAAAATGCAAGGTTTAGAAATCATCAGTAGCTTCAGTTTTGTTATTGCTGCATATTGTTGTCTTCCGAAATGTGCTGTATTGTTTCCTCTTAAGTAACATGAGCTAAGTGAACTCTTTTGAAGGACTCACACTCATTGCTTTTGGACCCCAGCGACTGCACTCAGCCACCTTCAGGAGATTTCTTACTCCCTCTCTTCTATCACTAAATAATCCCCAAAGGTGGTGATTTTGGAGTATCTGCTCTGTCTGGTATTTTCTCGTCTACCCTCACCCTCAGCAGTCAGCTTCTGGATATTAGGATGCATTTCTCCAGCCTTCCCTTTCCGTTCTGCTTTACTTCCTGCAGGAGGCTGTGAAAAATGAAAAGGTGGACACTGTATGTGAAATAAGTGAAAATAGATTATTGGCAACAAATGAGGTTTTAATGTAAAATTTTAGCATGTGTTTTCTCCCTTAATTCTTATGACATGACCAACAGCCAAATCATCACTTGGGCACCAGGCATCCTTTAGCTACATACAGAGATCTAAAATCTATAGACTTTATTAGATCTCTATTGGCTAGACATGGTACTTGATCTGTGTGTGTGACAGCATGTGTGTATGTCTCATTTACTCGACTCTATAAAGGACTCTATTCTTTCTTGTTCTGAAAAGTCAGATATTGGATTAAATGATCTACGATTTTATCATTATTGGGCTGTAGTACTCTGTTGTTTGAAGATGATCCACTTTTCTTCCCCCTTTAACTAGGAAATTCTCCCTTAAAACATTTCCTGATGTTTAGTACCATTTACTCTTCACCTATTTTCAGATTTAGATTATTCTGCAGGACCACTCAAAGCTCACTCCATACACCCCCTCCTATTAGGCTTTAATGATATAATTATTTGCTGCTCTTCCTTTTGGAAGAAAGTAGGAAGATTTAACAAATGTTGGTAAAGAAGACTGTCACCATGGTGGGTGGAGATTTATCTGTGGATGACAAGGCTATACCTGGAAAAACTTTATTTCCTATGTTTGAAAAACAACCAAGTAGTATAACTGCTTTGGTAAATAATCTGGCAGGTCCTGGAAGGGTTAAATTTAAAGTTACTTTATAAGCCAGCAATTCTGCAGTTCAGTCTACCAGTATCAGTTACTTAGTGCTTTTGTAACAAAGTACCAACAAGTGGGAGACTTCAGATGAGATGGATAGGGTTCAGGATAGTATGGCACCCAATAGACAAAAACTGGGTGACCTCAAACAGCAGATAACTCTCACAGTTCTAGGGGCTAAAAGTCCTAAATTAAGGTGTTGACAGGGTCATGCTCTGGCTCTAATCCTTTCTTGCCTCCTCTAACTTCTTGTGTTTTCTGGAAATCTTTACTATCCCTCAGTTCACAGCATCCCTCTGTCTGCAGTGGGTGTTCTCCCTGTATGTGTCTGTTTCTTGTCCAAATCGTCCCTTTTTATAAGAACACCAACAATATTAGATGAGGGCTGCCCCCCCCAGCACCTCTTTTTAACTTGATTACCTCGATAAAGACCATATGTCCAAATAACGTTGCATTCTGAGTTATTACTGGAAGTTAGGACTTCAACTTTCTTTCATTTTTTTTTTGAGGGACTCAATTCAACTCATAACAATACCTAGAGATATAAAAATATACATCCACACAAAAACTTGTACACAAACCTTTATAGCAGTATTAACTATAATAGCCAAAATGTGGAAGCCACCCCAAAGCACATCAACCATGATTGGGTAAATTAAATGTGGTATATCCATACAGTGGAGTATTACTCAACAATATAAAAGAATGACATGTGCTACATGGATGGATGAGCCTTAAAATCATTGTTATATGAAAGAAGCTGGTCACAAAAGATCACATATTGTGGGATGCCATTTATATGAAATGTCCAGAATGAACATTATTTGTTTTCTAGGGCTGAAGTGGAGGGACTGGGGGAGCGAAGGTGGTAGAATGAATAGTGACTGCTAATAGGTATAGGGTTCCTTGGTTGGATGATAGAACTTTTCTAAAATAAATTGTGATAGTTGCACATGTCTGAACAGATGAAGAACCACTGAATTGCACACTTTAATAGTGTGCATTTTATGTCATATGAATTATCTCTTTAAAGCTGCAAAAAGAATTTAACCAATGGTATTGAAAGATTAAGAGATTTAGCACTGGCCTAAAAAAGAATAGTTTAACACAAAAATGTGGAAGTGATAGCAAAGTAGAAATGCTTGGATGTGGTATAGAGAATAAGGAACAAAGAAATTAAAGCACAGCTTTGACCTCTGGGTCGGAGATGATTTACAAGGATCACTGAGAAATCAGCAGACATTCGTCCTCAGCCTCCATGTAGCATTACTACAGAAGACCTCTTTTAAAAATTCTGTGTCTGGATCTAAATTACCCCTCAGAAATAAATGAGATTGAAGCAACTTTAAATTCTAATTCCTATTCCTATCACATGAGCAGGCTTTGTAGGAGAGGCTTTTGTTTCGGGGATAATTGATTTAAAGCAGTGGAATTTGTGCAGGAAGGAGGTAAATTGTACAACGGAGGAGATTCGAGTAGGGATTCTATGAAAGTAGAAAAAGATGTGGGGCTGGCAGATGTCTGCAGGAGAGGAAAAGGTGGTGGATCTGAGGGAGGTTGGGAATAAAAGTGGGAAGGCAGTTTACCAAGGAGCATGGCAGACATTCAGGTGGGGAATGGCAGAAAAGCCAGAATATGCCATCAGACTCAAGTCAGTAGTGGGGAAAACAAAGTCCATAGGAAAACAAAAGGTAGTTTGTAATGTTGGGTCCCCATCCTGGGAAAAACAACTTTGTTCCTTTTTGGCTTATAGTACCCCCTGCTGGTCCTGTTGTTGAAAATTCATGGAGTTCTTTGTTGTTGCTTTATCCCCTAGAAACACTTACTCCTATGCCTGACATGGAAGAAATAACTTCATGTGATCAAATAGACTGAATTAGATTTTAGGATCACTGCATGAATTAATTATATCTTGTTTTAAAGTCCTCTAAATGCCCGTCATACTGATAGTATTTCTCATATAGTGTATATTGAAAAATAAGATCCATGTATTCTGTCAACTATAAGAATTAAGTATAAATGACTTTCCCAAGATCAGAAGAAATTAGGTACGTCATTTCTTCTATATCATTCCTGTTAATTTAGTAAGTTTTCAGGCTTTTTAATTTTATTCTGGACTAGAAATACCAGCATTAGTAGCTTGCATGTCTAACTTTCAAAAGTTCAGTTACAGGATTTTATGTGATACTTGACCAATGGCCAACTAAAAGAAAACATTCCACTGAATTTGGATGCTTACTTTTCAAGACTTTAAAAATTAAGTGAATTTCCTTACTTTAAGAAGAAAACAGATTTTCATCTAAAAGGAAGGGCTACTTGCCAATTTATTTGTGTGTGTGTTTATTATGTTAAAATCCTATGAAATTTACCACCTTCAATGCCAGTTTATTTACACTGTAAAGTTATGTGACCATAGGCCTCTCTCACATTTTCTGGTTAATATCTGCTATCCCTGTACAATTATTAATAACATCTCTTTCCTTTGAACAGTGCCCCAGCTTGGATTTTAACTTAGATGGTCACCTTACTATAAAGTTGTTAGCTTCCACTACTGTTAAGAATAACTCCTTGAAGTGGGTGTCATGAGAGTCCATTTAATCTATAAATACAAGAATCACTAAACTCTTTGCGTGGGTCACAAAAGTAAAAATGCTTTTGTAGCTGTACAGTCATCTGATACCTGGTTATGTTTTCTAGGTAAGTATCTATAAAACTCTCTCCTATAAAACAGAAGCTTTGAAGGAATGGAGTGATTTTTTTCCTCTATTGACCTTAAAATACTTAAACCATTTTACCTGCTGCCAGGGAGGAGGGTTGCTGATAGGACCGATGACAGCATATGTTCCAACACAGTCCTAGCCTGGCTTTATTACTATATCAGCACTTTGAAAGGGAATTCCCTTGGCTGCTCATTGTGTCACCAAAATTCCCCTTTAAAGTCCTCCATAAGAAATTATG